GGGGGGGGGGGGTCCCCAAGCTGTAGGCATTTACCTTGGAACCATCCAGAAACTCAGCCCTGAGTCACCTCCCCAAACATCCCAAAGAGTGAGGACTTGATCAGAAAGTGGTTGGGTCGCTAATAAAACCTAAATCCAAATGTGCTCTGGGTCACTGCGGGGTAATTAAGTGCTGGCCCATGAAGAGCTTCGGAAGGAGGGCCAACAGGTGCCTTTGGGAGACGTGTGCCGAGAAACATCCTGTAAACGTTAAAACCCTCTTTCCCCCCAGCGCCACCTCCGCCAGCCCCGCAGAGGGGTCTTTGAAAGGAGTCTTGCCTGGCCGGGCGTGGCTCAGCGGTTGAGCGTCGACCTAGGGTCCAGGCGATCGGGGTTCGATTCCTGGTCAGGGCGCATTCCCGGGTTGCAGGCTGCAGCTGATCAATGACTCTCTCATCACTGAGGTTTCTCTCTCCCTCTCCTTTCCTCTCTCTGAAATCCATAAAGATATATTTTAAAAAAAGAAAAAAAAAAGAAAGGAGTCTCATCCTAAAACCCTGCAATGCTTCCTTCCCACACACTCAGCACAGATCCCCGCAGGCTGCGGGGTGCGCCCCCTTCCCTCCAGCACCTCTTCCCAGACCCCCCGCTGCCGGCGCCCACCGCAGGGCCTCGCCTCTGATCCCCGCCTCACTCCCGGCATTTCCGCCGTTTCCACCTCCTGTTACCGAACTCACGGGGTGCGCGCTCGGGGTGCTGTGCCCCTGAACAAGCCCTGATCTTCATGAGGTAGTTTTAGGGACTTGGCAGCAGGTAGAGGAGGTGAATTCGCATCCATAGCTCCGTCCCCGGGAGGGGGGCTCAGCCACTGCTCCTGTCATCTCTCGGGCTAATGATGCGGTTTCCTCTCCGCCGTGGCCGCACTTACCCAGCTGGGTCCGGGTCAAGCCCGTCCTGCTGGCAGCTGAGTCTGCAAAGCACTGGGCCACGGTCTGACCTTCAGCAGGAGGCGCATCGCCTGGGAGCCGCGGGGCTCGGGGCCCTGCGTCCGCTGCCCTCCGACCCCCTTGCAATGAAACATTGTAACTATTTTCTTTCCCACCGAATTACAGCCCCATCAGCGCATGAATTGTGTCCACTTTTGCCCACTCGTCTCATGTCCTAGACCAGGGCCTGACCCGCGGCCGACCTTCCAAAAGTATGTTTGGGCGAATAGACAAGCCGGTGGTTACCGTTCACGCGTCCTGTGTGGTTAACGTTTCAGACGGAGCCACGTGTGACTTTCCTGCGTAGGTTGGTGCACTCGTGTCCGCATTTCATTCCAGTCATGTTTCATGGAAAGAGGCCTGATTCTACAGATTTCCTTTTTATCTGAAGATCATAAATATATTCATTTTGTCTCATAAATGGGTTTTAACCTTAACTAAAGGGTTTTCAAACGGATGTACCGATTTAAACATTCAGTAGGGACCGAACGCCCTGCCTTGTACTGTTTACACTGAAACCACGTGGATCAGAGCACGTGGCTGGGGCTTGCCCTTCAGAGGCGGGGCCGTGGGTGACATGCNAACAGCCTTGTACTGTTTACACTGAAACCACGTGGATCAGAGCACGTGGCTGGGGCTTGCCCTTCAGAGGCGGGGCCGTGGGTGACATGCGAGACGTGCGGGGGCCGGGAGGCGCATCGGCTCCTCGTGACATCCCTGTTGTCAACACATCTGTGTCGCCACTCGGATCCCTCAGAAGACAATACATTAAATACCTTTCTCTCAAGTTTAGATTACACCTTTTCCTCACATTCGTAATTAAGCTTTGGGTGGACTGAGTCACCTTTTTAAAACTGTTTACGAAAATAGTGCTGAGACCAGCGATTATCAGCCACTTGTTCGTTTCCTAAATTGTTGAAAGCCGCTCGTTGTTGATTTTTAACCGTCCGCTTGTCTCTCCCACTTTCAGAGATTGAGAAGGGGGGCTGCGGGGACCCCGGCATCCCTGCCTACGGGAGGCGGATGGGCAGCAGCTTCCTGCACGGAGACACGCTCGCCTTCGAGTGCCAGGCGGCCTTCGAGCTGGTGGGGGAGCGAGCCATCACCTGCCAGCGCAACAACCAGTGGTCCGGCAACAAGCCCAGCTGTGTGTGTGAGTGTCTCTCACCCCGAGGGCCGCGGTCCTGCCGGGGAGCGAGACCGGGACACGGGCGCGTCCGGGGGGCGCTGCGCAGGGTCACTCACCTGGGAGAGCCTCACTGAGCGGGACACCCGGGGCCCTCCCCACGCCCGCCTCCCTGCAGCCCTGACCTATGAGTCCTCCCACGGCACCCGTGCTGGGCAAAGGCCGCAGGTGGTCCCTGTGCTGGGTAAAGGCCGCAGGTGGCACCTGTGCTGGGTAAAGGCCACAGATGGTCCCTGTGCTGGGTAAAGGCCGCAGGTGGCACCCGTGCTGGGTAAAGGCCCCAGGTGGTCCCTGTGCTGGGTAAAGGCCCCAGGTGGTCCCTGTGCTGGGTAAAGGCCCCAGGTGGTCCCTGTGCTGGGTAAAGGCCGCAGGTGGCACCTGTGCTGGGTAAAGGCCGCAGGTGGTCCCTGTGCTGGGTAAAGGCCCCAGGTGGTCCCTGTGCTGGGTAAAGGCCCCAGGTGGTCCCTGTGCTGGGTAAAGGCCCCAGGTGG